TGCTCGTCCGAATATTTTTCACACGAGCGAATCCAATTTCACGAGCCACGTTTGACGGTGTAAATCCGACGAGCGAATAAAAATGATGTCTCGCCTGCCGCGAGACCCGTCGACGAAACGATCGCGACGCGTTCGACCGCCGGTTATTTGTGATGTTAATTTTCGCCGGCCGGCAGATATTGAGCTTTACGCAAATTTGTCCGAGTCACGAGAGAGAATCCCCGGGAGATCTTTGATTGCGAGCTCGGCCGGATTTTCGCGTGATCGAACTAATCGAGAGTCAAAATTAAACTCGACAGCCGGATCGGGATGGATTAATTGCGAGCGTTAAGCGCAATCACCGGCGAACGGGCGACGCGATGACGTCGGCGTTATTAATGCTGATTACATCGCGCTTCGTTGTCCGGCCAAATTACACGCTCGCTGTCCCAATTTACATCTCTGCGGAGGTAACATCAACGGGGGCCGGGGGCTGCAGGGGAACAGCGGCAGGGAGGTTGGAGGGAACAGCCGCGTATAAATTATGCGAAGAATTCGAGAGGCGCGTATAATTACCGAAAGAGAGAAAGAAGATGGATATCGCGTTCTTTCTTACGTAAGATAGAGAAGCCGCTTCGAGAGGAAGGTGCGCGGAGAAGAATTCGAATGAGGGAAGGAGTTTGAGTGAAAAGAGAAAGCGGGAGAGAGAGAGAGAGAGAGAGAAAGAGAGAGAGAAAGAGATACGCGCACAGATATAGAATCTGGAGGGGTAGGAGATAGTCATGATGGAAGGACGGAGATTTAACAACGTTACAATGAGCGAGCGAGCGAGCGGGAGAATGAGAGAGCGAGAGCTGCTGTCGTCTCCCCGGCCGCGCCGCGCCGCGTCGGCGGAGCCCCGGGATCGCAGATTGAATTGTAAAATAACCGAGAGGGGAACAATGCGCCCCGGTACAACATTGTGTTTGCATTTAAATAATCCGCGAGCCCGCGGGTACGTAATCCTGAGAGCGCCGCGACTTCTCTCTCTCTCTCTCTCTATCTCTTTCTCTCTCTGTCTCTCTCGTCTGGGTCTCGCGCGCACAATCCTCGAGCGCAAACGGTCCTCGCGGGAGACGACTCGTGGGCGACATTTCCGTACGATCGCGTCCCGACAAGAAACAATATCGGGATCGTACGTACTCGAGCGATCGCGCGTTATTAAATATAATTGAATCGCACTGGCGTTAAGCCCATTTCAGAATTCGTGGCGGAATTCGGGACGGTCTAGTTGGAACCGTAGCTGGGATTAATTAAAGAAGAGGGACGGGGTCTCGGAAACTGCGATGTTTTTTTCTTCCTTTTACACAGTATTAATCTTTAATTTTTCCGGAGAAGGTTCGAAGAATTGTCAGAAAGAACGACGTATCGTAAAGAGGAAGCGGCAGAAATACGTTTCCCACGTAGAATCCTTCATGTAACCGTCGTTAATTAGACGACGTTCCTCAAAGACACTCTCGCGAATTTTTTAACGTGGATGGGCGGTTAAGCGGCCTTCGTTAAGCCGAGATGAACGAGAGTATCTCGCGATTGTTGACGGCGAACGCACGAACGACCGAACGAACGACCGAGCGTTTCTATCCGGTCTGCACTATAATTGTAAGTAGCGAGTAATTAATGCGGTCGATTCGAGTCCGATTCGTCCGACCGCTGACCAACGGAATCCGCGAGGTTCGTCGACGCGGCGGGGGCCGGCGGTGAGAAGCGCGGAAGCGGGAAAACTCGCGATGGGACGGAGGGGTTGTTCCGGGTCGGGTACCGACATTGTTTCACGGTGGATGAGAATTTAATTTGCACGGTACGAGGCGCGAGAGAGAAAGAGACCCGGTGATAGAGAGAGAGAGAGAGAGAAAGAGAGAGGGCGCGAGAGGAGAGGTACCGAGTGTAGGAGGAGGGGGTAGGAGGACGCTCGGATGGGTGCTGCCTTGTTTAAGCGTGGGTGGGGGTGTCAAATTGAATTACCCCCTCGTACCACGGCTCCCCGGGGACGTTTGCCGGGGCGCTGGTGCTCTCGCTGCCTCCGGACGTCGGGGCGGTTGCGTCGGTGTTTGTGTCGGTGTGCCCTGTCTCTCTCTCTCTCTCTCTCTCTGTATGCGCACGTGTGCGCGCGCGTGTGTAGCGACACGCGTACACGCGCGCGCCCGGGCTTCCTTCTCCACGAAGGCGTTTTCAATTAAAATCAACACCGGGGGTTGGCCCGGTCGCCCTCCGCTCGGCCCCCGCTCGCTCCTCTCGCCAACCGTTTTGATCTCTCCTCCTAATCGGCGTACCTGTTCCGCGATGCATCCTCATCCCCGCGTGCCACCGACCACCCTCGACCTGCGCTTCGCCCTTAGCCTCCCTCTGCCGTGTCTCTCTGGCTGTCTTATATGCATTATGTTATTAATTTGGTTACCGTACCACGCTCCTGTGCGGTAATGACCCGGGCTTCGTATTACGTTACTCGACGACGGGGCTGCAGCGGTAGTTTGCTTGTCGCACGTGTACGCGTTTATTTCAGTTCCGCTCCGCGCACTGAGAATTGAATTTGACGAAGCAATGAAAGGAAAAGAAAGTAAAGCGCAGGACGGAAGAGTAGAATAGAGGAATAGTATCCTCTCGCAGGATCTCGCTGAGATCTCGGGTTGGAGCAAATGACTTTTGCGCATCGCGTATGCAGTCATTTAAGCTGATCTGCATTTGTGATTACGTTGCAACGCGACGCGCAAAACAATATATGTTGTTTAAAGCCGGTGTGTGTGTACAGAGGCCGGCGTAATTGCCTTCACATTTATATATCACCACGACTTTCAACCGTACGCGTACGTGTGCATACGGTTAAAAATCGTAACAATGCGCTGGAAAATAAGTTCGGTGGAATCTATCTGACAATGAACAAGCAAATGCGTTTTGGCTGAAGGAAGCCAAATTTCTACTTCTCATGAAGCAAACTTGGCTTTTGTAATCAAAAATTCGATTGATTCTTAGGTAGGTGAAATCAAACTCGTTGTTTAGTGTATCGCAACAAAATAAATGCTAGTGTATAATATTATTAAACGCTAATCTCTGCGCTCCCCCTCTCTACTTATTGTTTAGCATACATTGATAGTGTTTTATTTTGCATTTCTTAAGGAATCTGCCTTAGAGTCGATAAATAATTTTCCCCGACAGCCTCCTCGCTCGAAAGTTCGCGATTTCTTCCGCGAGTCTTCGCCGGGCGTTAAACTAACAGCACAGGAACCTCCAGTCACTTATTACGGACAGCCGGAATTTTTCGCAGCTTCTCCGTCCCCGTCACTAAGAGGATAAACGACTCGATTCAGAGTCGACTCTCATTTTCGCCTTTAACATTCCGTCTTTTTTCCTCTTATCCGGTAGTCCCCGCGAAAAGGAAGTCGCTTTCGACAGGACTGGGCGAATCTCCGTCCTTGAGAAAGACGTATTCATCTCTACGCGAAATCCTCGGAATTTCGTGTTACTTTGACAAAAAAATTACCGGGGATCCGCGATTGATAGTTCGTCACTCCGCAAGTTACCACCGCGCGGATCTCTTTCCTCTCGCGAATGCGTCGATTCAATTGGCGTGGCTTTGTCGATTGAAAAAAGGAAAACGTATTGAACGTAGTTCTGCGGCATAAGACAAATCCCAAGTGAAGATTTCTTTAATGCGGTTTCATTAACGAAATTATGCTTGAGCGGAATCTCACCTTTATGTCACACCGAAAGTAATCGCTGCATTACAATTGATCTCGCGTTGCAATTGAAATTCCGCGCGTATAATGCACTAATTGTTTCAACAATGTTTCCCGCGTGCAAGAAAAAGGATCGTCCCATTACTCCTGTTTTTACTTTCCCTAAAAGGGAAATCGGCGCCCAGTGCCGTCGCGTTATTCTAGATTCGCGATTAACGAATCAACCAATTACCGATTACGGAAAGAAGCCGGAAAGAAGGTTAAGCAAGAGAAAAGGGATTTAATCGTCCTTAATTCTGTTTCGCGATTCGCGAAAGAGAGAGAGGGGGGGGGGATGGGAAGAGGAAGAGAGACAAATAGAATACAGCGACCAGCGCTTTGATCGCGCGAGTTTAATTTCAGCGGGTCTTTGGATTCGCTTAATCACCGCCCGATAATTAAGGAGGGCCTTTCGAGCGATAACGACGACGACTACGGCGACGATGACGACGACGACAGCGTCGAGAACAACTTAATCACACCTTTCAATCGACACGCGTGTTTTCCCAATCGCGGATAATCGCAATCGCACCACTCGTCTCGCTAATTAAATCGCCGATACAAGATACAATACAATATGATGCTAATGTACGTGACATACATAATGAAAATATGAGGTGAAAAATTGAAGAAACATTTTCGAGTGAGAATAATCCGGCCTCTACGATTTATGGTCGTTTTTCAATCCGATTGGTTCGCCCGTTTCATCGCGCTCTTGCAAAAATATCACCGGCCAGCTTCGGCCTTTGTCTTTTTGCATAAAAAGATCGAATATAAATGGAGATCTGAGAGAGCGACGCGCGTTTGCGTTATGAAAAGTCGCGTTACCATTCGCGATTTAATTGGCCGGCGATCGCGCCGGCGGTCGGGACAGAGCAAAAACGAGGAGGGCCCGCGATTTAATTGAGCTGAATGCACTGCCGGACGCACGTCGAGAAAGAGAGAGAGAGGATTGATCGATAAAGTGTAATAAATATAATTACAACGAGGGCGGAGGAGGATGCTTTTTCCCGGCGCGAGCGGAAAACGCGGAATTTATTATCGAGCGCGAGCACGGACGGAAGCGACCGTAAAACATCAGAGATTATAATCAATCTCGCCGATGACGATAAAAACCGCGCTACGAGAGAAATTATTGCCGTCGCATCAGTGGTCGTGCATTTTCCATCGAGCAAATAAGCGCTCGGCGCTCGGAAAATCGCGACACCAGGTCGCACAAAATATTACATTTACATCTCCGTTGCTTAAATCGGTAAAACCCTCTGTTTCAGGATGGACGGGCCGGCGGTGCTGTCGATGCCGCCGTTGACCGCCTCACAGAAATCGGCACAGTCGCCGCAGCCGCAACCGCACCCGAAGCAGAATCAGGTAACGCCGACGAACCGAGAACAGACGACAGTCTCGAACGGCTTCGTCGGTGTAACGTCGAAATTAATCGATTCAAGTCCGAGGGTAATTCGAGAGATCTACTCGTCAGTACTCGTCAAACTGTAATCCTTCGAACGATTCCGCGAATCGCTGCGATTTTACATAGCGCGATATGTACTGTGCACCCTCTCAAGACAAAATTTCCTCTTAACAGTGCATCGTGAATAAAAACGAACGCCTCGGCTCGCGCCGCTCCATCAGAGCATCGTAGTGCAACTAAACCGACAGGAGTTGCAGGTGGGTACCGTGTCGCTGTACGGGATCCACATCGTGTCGCTGGTGATCGAGGGCCAAGAGAGGCTCTGCCTGGCGCAGATCAGCAACACCCTGCTTAAGCAGTTCAGCTACAACGAGATTCACAATCGCCGGGTGGCGTTGGGCATCACCTGTGTCCAGTGCACCCCGGTGCAGCTGGAGATACTCCGTCGGGCGGGCGCGATGCCGGTGTCGTCGCGTAGGTGCGGCATGATCACTCGCAGGGAGGCCGAGCGCCTCTGCAAGTCCTTCCTCGGCGACAACGCGCCGCCCAGGTCAGTGAAAAACGATCGAACTCTACTGGTTTCCCCTTCGTGATTGCATTGAGAAGAAAATCAGGCTATTATTCAACTTCGTTAATTGAGATGTTAAACTCGTTCGCTTAAATTTTACTTCGTGTAATATCCGCGTAGGCGTACAGACCGTCGGACTAATCTGATTAATGCTGCGTTACATAAAAGAAAGAAAGAATGAAAAGAAGGGATAATAATGATGACGACGATGATGAGTGGATGCTACCGACCTATTTCGCAGATTGCCGGAGGACTTCGCGTTCTCCGTCCACCACGAGTGCGCCTGGGGCTGTCGCGGCGCGTTCCTGCCCGCCCGCTACAACAGCTCCCGCGCCAAGTGCATCAAGTGCACGTACTGCGGCCTGTTCTTCTCGCCGAACAAGTTCATCTTCCACTCGCACCGACTCAGCCCGTCGGACAAGTACGTGCAGCCGGACGCGGCCAACTTCAACTCCTGGCGCCGGCACATGAAGCTGTCCGGTAGTCCGCCGGACGAGGTGGTGCACGCCTGGGAAGACGTCAAGGCGATGTTCAACGGCGGTACCAGGAAGCGGCTGTTGGGCAACGCGAACGCCCGCGAGTCGCCGAGCCCGGCGAAGCAGCCTAGGTCCTCGCCGACCACCGCCGCGCAGATTCCCACCCTGGTGCCGACGCCAGCGCATCCGCGGGTGCCACCGTTCCCGGAGCTGCCGCTGCCGCTGTCCAGGAGCCTCGTCATGGACTACGTGTGGCATCAGCACCAGCAGGCGGCGGCGGTCGCCGCGGCCAAGACGCCCGGCTTCGCCTTTCCGCCCTACGCTCTCCCTTGGCTGGCCAAGAGGGGCCCCGTCCTGTTCCCCGGTAAGACGGAACGAAAGCATATTTTTCTATCTTGATTTTATCTTTTTTTCTTTTCATTTGCGCCGATTTATTTTCGGTAAAAACGACGACGACAAAAATTGCCGGAGAGGAGGAACGGTCAAATATTACCGCCGCGCTGTGAAGGGATTTATGGGAATTAGCTGCGGGAGTAAGCGATTGCTGGGTCGATGGCAGACTTACGTCACATCTACACAATGATTATTACTTCTATATTCGTATCTAGGACAACGGTTATAGTCGTGCGTAATTATACGGGTAATAGTCGACGATTAATCGGGCGTCCATCGGACGTAAAATCGTTAATCGCGTCTTCTTCTTGCGTGTGCAAAGCTTCAAGTTCATCAAATGTACATCTCTGCGTTCAGCGCACTCTTGCGCAAACGACCGCAGCCGTGACGATTGATTCGACCTTAATTAGTTAACAATCGCGCTTTCCAGGACCGCTGCCGCCGCCAATAAGCGGCTCCAGCCCCACGGAACCTTTGATTCCGACCGTTAACCCGTCGCTACATCAATCGGCTTTCCGTCCGGTAATCCGTGGGCCACCCATCGTCGAGCAGCTGATGCCGGAGCGGGCGACGGACGCCGGCAAGGAGGAAAACTCCGACGACGAGGTCGACATCGAGACGACGGAGGACGACCCGGTTACGCCGCTCAACGCGAGTCTGCAGAATCTCCACTCGGCCTCGAATTCCGCCATGAGCAGCCACAGCGGACGGAGTACGTCGCCACAGTGCTGGAGTCCCCCGCGAGAGACGGTGAGTCGCGACGGTATTTAAAGGGAGAGGGGGGGGTTATTAACATAACAGTATACACTTTTAAGTAAAACATAACTCAGGATATATCGCACAAGTATACAGAGTATTCCAGTTCCAGTTGAATATGGCTTAAAATATATCATTTGAAGTAGATTAAATCTACGAAACTCGAAAGCATACTTCTCGAAGCGTAGCTTAAAAATACACCACAGTTGAAGTCCCGAGTTATAAAATCTCGAGTGTACGTTCGCGGCCCGATCGATGCACTCGGAGGTGCTCGAGAGAACACGAGAGCGCGAAGTGTAAACCGCGTTACGATGCGCGACGACGATGCGGCCACGTGCTGGCCACGGTCGGACACACGTGCCTCGGTCGCACTCGCGACGCGACCATTATCGTCGGCCGATCGCAAACACTCGACGCGATAAACGGCGGAACCATCGTTCCGCTAGAAATATGCCGTCGCCTCCTGGCGAAGCGTCCCCCTGCGTCGTTGTTGTTGACGAAGACGTAATCGTGCGCGACAAACGCGCGTACACACAATCACGCCGTGTAGCCGCGCCGTGTGCACGCGATCGACCACTATCGCACGCGACGGCGCGCCGAGAGATGCAATCGTGACTATTACGCGAATACGCGTCACGATCCTCCTCCTCAGAGATTCGAGAAGACAGAATCGGAGAAACTCCCCCGATCCTCTCACGATTAACGAATGTCATTTCTGCTCTTCTCTTCGCTCCGCACTCGAAAAGGGGGGCCAGGGTAAAGTCGATACTCGAAAGTATCGAAGTTCCGACGGGATCGGCCCAAGTCCTCTCTAAAGTACTGGAGTTCCGCGTCGATCTTTTCCCGCTATGGCGATCGTTACTGTCGCTGAGCTGTTCTCCAGTCGAAATTTTTATTCTGCGTTAACCTCGCGAATCCCGAATCGAAGTCTTGAGAGTCTAACGGGAAACTAAGGGTACGATAAAAATTTCGCGGTAAAAGTTTTGTATTAAAAATGACTCACCGAAATTTTGTGTTACTTTACTAACATGGCGAATGTGTTAATTTAACGTTATATTTCTGTACCTTTTAACACATCCCCCCGGGTTAAAATAATACAAAATTTTAATGGACCGTTTTTAACACAACAATTTTTATTATACATTTAGGCCTCTGTCTTTGCCAGGTGCGATAACTTTTTATTTCAATTTAATGTGTACAAGAAAAAGGATACGACATTATGAGTAACGAGCAAACGGAACTTCAGCAAATAAGAAATATAAAAGTTTAGAAGAGCGCAACGCGCGGCTCCCGTCGCTTCGATAATTCAATGTCGTCGGTGATGTTTATGGCGCGGTAGAAACACACGTCGACTCTTCCGTCCCGCAGAAGCAATTTATTACGGCGTGACTCTTTACTCACTCGCTAGTGAATAAAAGTACACGTCCTCGGCGGTTTAATAACGGAGTGTATTTGCGTTGTAAGGAAAGTAGCCCCGCACCGCCCCGCATGCGTGACTGACCCCTGTAAATGGCCAGCGAAATATTTTCCCGCAACACGACACCCGACGGCAAACAGTGCCGCCGCAAAGTTAATCGAATTAACGTCGTGCTCGACTCTCTCGTTTAATCGAGTCCTTCCCTCGTCGAGAAATCGTTCGCAGTATACACACACACACACACACACACACACACATATGCACACGCATGAAATACATATTAGGCTAGCCGTTCAAAAATCGGCTGATTTTCCGCCTCCCTCAGAAATTTTTAGATCGTTTCGGAGGGTCAATTCTACCTGAGCCGCAATTGAATCAGTTATTATCGATAATTTTTTTCATAATTTTTTAACCTTCGGAAGGAAAAGTACAGTAGCAGGACATGAACAGAAAGGTGAGGTCATAAGTGACTCAGATATATGAATATGCATTCTGCTTGATTAAAATAAGGAAAGGGCACAAAAATCATGTGGAGAAATAAACAAAAATATATTCCTCAAAAATATAGTAATATAATAAATATAAATGTCTTTCTTTTTGAGGTCACATCACCCCTACCCTTTCCTTGCGAGGATCGACATTGAGAAAGAAGGTCTAGATTAAAGTTTATGTCAAAAGACTAGCGAGGAGGGAAATTTTTCGGTAACTTTCTCATTGGTGCAGTCAAGCTGTAAAGAAAGAGAGAGAGAGAGAGAGAGAGAATAGCGAACGGCAATTAGCAACTACTCGCGTCCGATCGTTTCCACTCTAATTTCCCTTCGTGTAATATCGCACGGAATCGCTACAACACGCTCGGGGATAGATGGGAAGAAGGGTGAAGTATTTATCGTCAGGTCAAAGCTGTGCAGGGCAAAGCAACGCGACGCGGCAATTAACATCGAGGTCGTCGGAATTTTCGACGGTGCTCGGGTTAATTATTCCGCGGCAATTTAGCCGGTAACGAGCCGGCGGTAATTGGGTGCCTGGGAATTATTGTAACGACGTGCCCACCGCCTTCGCCGTTGCCCCGGCCATTTACATCGTCCGCGGAGACGGCGGAGCAACGTAATACTACTCGACTCGTCCCTAGAATTTGCTCTGCGGTCTGACTGCTCGTGCACCGGTGGTAGCGGCGGCGGTGTTGGGTGCCGCTGGTGGTGGTGGCGGCGGCGGCGGTGGCGGCGGCCCTCATCATCAATCGCGATAATTATTGTGTCGGTAAATATACTCCGCGTACAAACGAACGTGGGGGCCGATCGCTCGCGCGCGTCATCCGAACACACTTACGGCGACGACATGATTAAACGAACGGTCTCGATGTGTATTACGCTGCGTGTCACGGCGCCGATGTGAACCGACATTTCACCGACGCGGTAATGACGGCCGTCGACATCAAAGACGGATTACGGGAGCTCGCTGTGTGCGAGCGAGCGTTTCGCGCTGCTGAATCGGCTCTCTCTCTCTCTCTCTCCCTCTGCGGTCGACGCATGAAGACTTACTTAGATCGGACGATTTTCGACGTCATTCCGTCGACAGGACGGCCGCGCGTCGTCATCGCGGAGCGTGCAATCTCGCGCGACCGTCGCGCTTTGAACACGAGGGGTCGACGGATATTTCAGACTCAAACGGCGGAATAACGCGCCACCCGTCTTTATTTTCCCGCGGACATGTCGTCTGCGTGCGGACCCCTCAATTAAGAGTTCCCTCGCACTCTCTTCGCTTGGCGTTGCTGGAATTAGAGGGTTAATGCCGGACTACTCTCGAGCGGGATAACCGACTAACGCGTCTTCTATCCTCTTAAAAAAAATATAACTAGCGAAGTGGCCCTGGTGTAGTTTACCGGCACTCGAAGACCTTAATCGGCCGTCGCGTGTTGAAGAGAGAGACAGAGAAAAAGAGAGAGAGAGAGGGGGGAACGAGTCCGGCAAAAAGGTCGTTCCCATAGCGAGTGGTTGCAGGAAGAAGCGAAGCATAGCACACGAAGGAGAGAGAGAAAGAGAGAGAGGGAGGAAGAGAAAAGAAACAGGAGAGATGACGGGGGTGGATTGGGATAAGCCGTCCGGATTGCCAGACAGCTTTTCAATTCCCCCTTGTCGGTGAACGTGTCGAGTGGGACGAACCCGTATTTTGCCCGGAATTTCCCTCTCTTCCTCTAACTTTCTCTCTCTCTCTCTCTCTCACTCACTCACTCACTATTGGCATGGTTGACGAGCGTGTACATGCACGAGAGATATTCATCACAAAGGTGCAGGCAGACTGTACACCACATAGGAAGTGGAAACCCAGTTACTGCATCGGGCCACGGTGGAAGAACCCAGTAGCGGAGCCCGTAGTACAAGTGTATCGCGGTAACTGAGTAATCCCCGAACGTTATTTGCAGTTATTTCTCGCTCCGCTGAGTAGACTGAGAGCGTGCGAGAGAGAGAGAGGAAGAGAGAGAGAGAGAGAGGGAGGCTCACGAGAGACACGGGGAGGACGGTATTTTCATTTTCGCGACATCTGTGGATCTCTCTCGCTGGTGTATACACGGCTCTGTGTGTATGTGAGCGCGCGTTGAGTCTCGTGGATCTCGCCATCGCTTCTTCTTTCAGAGCCGAAAGTCCAGACCTCGTTGTCGAAACACAATGAGCGATAATCGAGCCACCGTTGATTACAAAAAGCGCCGAAATCCGAGGCACGTGTTCGAGAGTCGAGAGAGGGGGAGAGATGTGCGTCTCGAATTTTTACTGAAATCAGTAATATAAAAAGTCGAGAAAGGAACCTGACTCGAAATCAGTAACTAGAAAATCCAGATGAAACGCGCGTGTTTATTACAGCGCAGCGCGACGACACCTCGCGACCCGTCGTGATTTTAATCAGCGTCCCAGATCCGCAGATGGGAGTAAATCGCTGTCAACCCGCCGATCAATTAAGATCCTTTGCTCGATCGTGATTACTGAAAGTCTGAATCGCGTCGGTGAACTCCCTGCGGGGCTGGGCTCGCTTCGTTCGGAAGGTAACGAAGATACCCGCGGAATCTCCTCCACCATCCATTTAAATGCAATTAAGCAACGTCACGTAGGAGCGTAACGGGGCTCAGAAACGTTTAAATCAAACTACGGCTGGTTTAGTTAGTTTCGACCGCAACTTTTAATTGCGCCTCGACCGTCTGGAGGGCCATTAGGTTCCGGAAGAGATACGTTACTTCTTTTTCCTTCTGAAATGTCCGACGCTTCCTTCCTCTCTCTCTCTCTCTCTCTCTTTCTCTCTTGTATTTCTGGGCGCACGTGATTTCTCTACATCGTACCACAAAATAACACTGAAACCTTCGCTCTTTCTATTTCGACTAAAACGACAAATCAACGACTCGCGACGATGCGAAAACAGGTCACACTGAAATCCCCGCGCCCTCCGTATTAATTAAAGAAGCCCGGCCTGGCATTTTTAAGAGCCAGTGAGCACAGCTAAAGTTACTGCCGCCGCAGCGAAATGCCAAGCTCTGACCTTATGTTCGTAGAACCTTTCGGGACACGGTGTGATTAAATCGACTGTCACATAT